AAACTGTAGCTAAATGCAGGATAATGTACAGTTAATTTTACCCTTCTAATTCTTACCCTGAGGATTAAAGAATCCAGTCATCCAAAACACAGGAGGCCTCCCTTCAAATATCCAGATGCGAAACTGATTGTTTCTCTCTAGAAGTTCAGTAAACCAGAAGCCAAGTGTGGAAGAATCCCATGATACACGTTTCCAAAGTTTAGGAATCCGAGCATCGTACATGTTATCAAGCGCATCTCTTAAATTCTGAAGAAATTAAAAACAAAAAATTAGCGGCCCTGATATGAGATCCATTAGTTTTAAAATGAGTAGTCTTACATAATGATGGACTAGGTTACCTCACTCATAATAATAGTTCCTTCAATGGCGAGCTTAAGGTCGCTTAGACTGGTTCGAACTATTTTGATAACCTTTTGCATTCGGTCAATTTCTTGACGGAGAAAAATATTCATAGAATTAAGGTGTCCCATTTTTATTAAGCGGGCTTTCACCTAAATAGGAAGTTAAGAGAAAGTAATCCAGTCAATAAAGCATTTAGAGTAACAGTAGGAAAATAATTATATTTTGCACCGTTTCTGTTTATGATTTGTGGGACTGGGGCTAGGCAAGTGGCCAACATAACAGGTACCAAGGCATCATATTCTTCACAAATCATCTCACTCCCATCTGAGACCAACACAGGTTTTGCATTCCCCACAGCTCTCATACGAATGAGAGACCAGTCTCCGGTTACAGTACGGCATCCACGACAAGTGGTGTGAGCTGACACAGCCGCACTGATGGCTTCTGCTTTGATAGTACTTTGATGACTGGCTCCAGCTTCTGGTCCACCATCACCAGCTGGGCATTTCAACAATTATTGAGAAGAAGCAGGATCTCCATAGAAAAAAACCCTGAGACATATCTATTGGGCATACTAGGGAGTGATATCCCACAGAATAAGAAGAAAAGAATTTTTTTTTATATGCCACAGTTGCCGCCAAAATAGTTCTAGCCAGCAAATGGAAAGACACGACAGTACCCTCTAAAGAAGAATGGCTTTATAAACTAAGTGAATACGCAGAGTTGGCAAAATTAACAGCAATGATAAGATCTCAAACAAATCAAAATTTAAAATCAGAATGGAAATGCTTTGAAGAATACATGGGAAAATGCTGCTCTAAAAAGAATATGTTAATATGCATAGATTGAATGTGTAAAGTGGATGTGTGAATATAAATATAGGGTTAGCAAGTATAGCTTAAGTATGTAAGTATGTAAAGGTGAAAATCAAATCAGAAATGGTTGTAAGAAATGAAGATGAAGATTTTTAGAAATGCAATGAAATAATTAAATTAAAAATTAAGGAAGCCGAGCCGTGGTGGAGGGAGGTCACAGGGGTGGGTAAGCTGTCTTGTTCTAGTTTGTATAGGTAGCATATGTGCTTCTATGTGTATTTGTGGTATCTGTATGTCTTTATTCATGTATTTTTCCCCCCTCAATAAAATATTAAAAAATTAAAATTTAAAAAAACAATTATTGAGAAGCAGATTGTGTATGTTACTTGCAGATTAACATCCACATGGAAAGTATGCAGATGCAGATGCATTTTACTGAGTGGTACCTGTGGTTCACCTCTCCCAGTATGCACTGCCTTGATATGGCTCTCCAAAGGTCCTCCTAGACTGCTACTTGCAGTTTCTTTTACCAAAATGCCAGGGATTGGACCTGGGATCTTCTGCATGCAGAGCATGTGCCCTACCACTGAGCTGTGACCTCTCGCTGTGTACATTACAGAGAGATGCATAAGACTCAAACATGGCTTAAGCTCACAGAGTTTCCCCTTTGGATGCCACACTGGAAGTGCAAAAAAGGTGCATTACACGAATCCATGGGTAGGCAAACTAAGGCCCACGGGCCGGATCCCGCCCAATCGCCTTCTAAATCCAGCCCACGGATGGTCCAGGAATCAGCATGTTTTTACGAGTAGAATGTGTCCTTTTATTTAAAATGCATCTCTGGGTTATTTGTGGGGCATAGGAATTCGTTCATTCCCCCCCCCCTTCAAAATATAGTCCGGCCCCCTACAAGGTCTGAGGGACAGTGGACCAGCCTCCTGCTGAAAAAGTTTGCTGACCCCTGCTGACTAATCACTTACACAGATCACTTATCTATCCCATGCCCATGCTTGTTAAAAAATTCTGAAGTCAGTTTCACTTAGAACCAATTTGAAATTGCAGCGTAGATACTGCTCTGCTAGCAAAAAGTTATCTTTTAAAAATTAATGCTTCATCCTGAAGGCTCGAAGCAGATTACTGAACTTTTAAAAACGGTGGGAAAACAGCCATAAAAATAAAATTTATAAAATGCTGTGACAAAAACAGTTTTGTCAGAAAATACCGCCCAGTCAAAGCCAGCCTGCTCACCTGCAAGAAAAAGACATCCAACCTGGGAACCAATGGCACAGATGGTACCAGATAATTAGTTGCAGAAGGAGGAGTTCTTGGAAGATGAAAATTAAGGAGGGGCGGGGGTGATAAAAACTAAGAGAGTAGATAGTGAATAAGGGACAGAGACAAAGTGTACAGGAAGAGGAGTGGCCCAGTACAAAGATGTAAAGTAACCATAGGAAAATACCAACTCAGACAGCACACACACAAAAGCAACATACATGTAGTGTAGAGCCAAGTGGGTTGAGGCACCAGCAGCTTTGGGTCCATTGGGTCAAAGCCTCTTAGATCCACCATGGGGGAAAATACAAGAGGCACACACCCCTGGCACAACCTGTGCCCTGACTGGTGAGCCAACAGGGCGTGTGATACGGCAGCAGATCTGCCACATGGCACCCTCCCCCACTTACGATTGCTCTACCCCAACATTTTTAAAAAGAGCAATGTTTTGTCATGTTAGCTTTGAACTCTCCAGCATTTATAAGAGACAAAACCTCCTTCTCCGCCCCCCACCATTACCCCATGATGAGTCAAGTTCAGAAAACATTTCTATATAGTCACCATTTACTTCAATGGAAACTGCCCAAGGAGCAGTGCTTCAGGGATTGCACCCTAAATCAGTAGACTTTATGATCATCTGAGCACTGATATATAAAGGGAATGACTATCTAGTTAGTGGAGAGAATACAATTATTGCATTCTTACATTTTATGTAAGATTCGTAGGCTATTCATTGCGGACAATGAGTATACCCATTAAATTCTGAGAAATAATTACTGTGCCTCTGAAGTTGTGGTATCCCATATACTTAAGAAACAAATCCTTTATGGGTTTTTTAAGGAAGGAGAAATTACAACTTTAATATCATCATTACTCTTTCGTATTTCTTCTGGATTAATCTTGTAACTTGTTTTTTGCATTGCCCTTGAAGAACCCATTGGATTTTTCAATAAGTGGCACAGATGGGCCAATGTTTGCAGCATCTTGACTATAAAAAGAGAAAATTATTCACTAATTTGTACAGTTGTTTGAAGTTACTATAATCTGGGGATGCACGTGACCTTTGATGTGAAATATATAGAATCAAGGGAGCAATTCTCATTGGAAATTGATTAGCTAATAATTTTTCCTTAAGGTACAGCCATTAGATACACATCCAGCCAAATTCCTCTTCTAGCATCATAAAGGGACCTTTATGTTCCCTTTATGTAACCTTAGAGGATTCCCTATAACAGAATACCTAGGCGTAAGCTGAAACAGGTATGTGTATTTTACAAACAAACCTCTTACCCCAGTTTTAGTTATAGAACTGGGGGGTGCAAAACAGAAGAAAAGGTTTCTTCAGAGTAGAAGCATTGTCCTCACTCTAATTTGGCTTCATGATATCATCATGCAGCCAAATCTGGCAGGCCATGTGATGACATAACTGTTCCCTTAATGGATAGACTCACCTTAGGAAGATGCCCCCTTTTTAAAGAAAAATGGCACCCAAACTACAAACTGGGGAATACAGAAACTGAGAGCAGGACAAGTTCCCTTTTACTTCTAGTGTGTAAAAGCTCAGCACAGCTGTAAGAATATTATCACAGCTCTATATATCTTAAATTTTAACAGAAGAGGCCTTTCAGGATCATGGCTGAAGCACAAAATTCATTAGTTTCTTTGACTGAAATCTTTGGGAATCAGCCAGCAGCTGCTGCCTGTTAAAAGAGTAGTCCCTTGGAACTACTGTTCCGCCTAAGATGCTGCAAGATTCAGGAATCTATCATAGTACCTACTCACACTCAAGTCACAAGCAATACTCAAAGCAATTTATTTTAACTTAAATCTTAAGTTCTAATCTAATGGAAATGTTTCAGAACTTCAAAGCTGAGGTTATGAGTGTCTATCCCCTAAACTAGATAGGGGTGTGTGTGTGTGTGTGTGTGTGTGTGCTCCGATTCAGGATGTAGCTGCCAGAGTGATCACTTCAGCTGGCACTTGAAGTGTCAAGAACTCACAAATGCTTCTATATTGACCTAGAAAAAGAGGAAAAGGCCAGGTCCTGTTGTTTATACCAGGTCCAATCAACTCATAGGCTTAATACATTGCAGGAGTCAATGATGCTCAGCCCTGTCCTCCTCTGAGAGTAGGGCTCCAAGGAAAAGCCCACATTCCCAGGCAGCTAATTAGGATGGATCCCAGCCTGGTTCTATCCCTGGAGAACAACACCATGTTTAACTCCAAATCCTTCATCAGGTATCCATTGATTTGTCTGATGAACTATAGGCAACTATTTGGTGTGGTCTTTTTAGCTTAAATGTATATTTTGGGATGTTATCAAGTGTTCTAACCATTGGGCACTGGGTCTGCTGAAACATAAACAGATCTAGATCTAATAACCTAATTAATGTGACATTAACCAGTCTGCCAGCTGGTGTGTAATGGAAAACCATGGTTTGTTTAAACTAGGACTAGAAGAGCTCGTGAAGGAGGAGGAGTATGTGGACACTGTTCTCAGCTTACTAAACCCAGCATTATCACGACAAGATCATTATGTCTATACTGGCCCATTATGTCTTATTAAAGTATAACCTTTACATGATAGAAAATCCCAGAAAACATCTACCTTTTTTCTTTCTGTCTAGAAAAGGTAGATGTTTTTCCTGGATTTTCTATCATGTAAAGGTTATACTTTAAGAAGTTCCACACTTAGCAGTTTGTCCTAGGTATGGCTTATATCAGCTCACAAGCTACCCATTCCTCTGTCCTTTGTTCCACTTCTGGTTTGGCAGAGCTCTGCCTTTCCATCATGACCTTATGCTTGTTGTTTGCAACTTACCTTTCCCTTAGTGTCAACAGCTGCTAGGATGTTTAGTGCACCCACTGCATGCATGTGTGTTTGGTATTGTTCACAACCACAGATGCCAATTTCTAGACCACCCAGAAGCTGCATCAGTCTCAAGAGCCCTGCCTCAAAAAAATTAGTATTCCCATGTCTGCAATTCTCTTGTAGAATTTAAAATCAGTCACCTCATGTGCTATGTAATCAGGAGGCAGCTTCTCAAGCATATCTTCAGCTAATCGATACACAATAGCTTCTCGAGTTTCCCCTACTCCACCTCCACTTTCCTTTGGCTGAATATTGGTAATGGTGTTCAGGACATCAGATGCTGTGCTACTTTGATACCTAGGAGGAATTTTCAATAATATGCAGCAGAATATTAGTTTCGTTGCTAGGAAATGGACACATGAAATTTGCACTTTGCAGTTCTTTGTTAAGAGTATTTTACTTTTGCAACTATTTTTGATAACAGATTTCTTTTCTCTCAATATCTGCAGTAAGAGAACCTGTTCTTTCTTCTTGTTTAAACTTCCTCAATTTGAGCATAAAAGAAGAGGGAAGGGAAGGCATTGTGACTCCAAAGGCTCATACTACAATGAACCTTGGGTCGTTGTGATGTCTGAGTGCAACTAGGAATAGATGTTCTCTGGCAATCCACAATACTCTACTCTACAATGTTAAAAAGACTCAGTTTTATATATAAGGAAAAGAACCAATGAATTTCATGTACATTTCAGAAAGGCAAAGAAAAAATGCCAAGCTGCCTCTTGCAGGGATCTTTCAGGAAATTCATTCCCTGAAAGCTTCTGTGCATTCCCAGAGCAGCAACACACCAACTACTCAAAACCTAAAATGCCACTTTGCAGCTTCTTTGGGCATTTTCTCCCAAAACTGTTTGATGGGTAGTTTAAATGAGATGCCGATGGTGAGTGATAATCCCAGCCTATAAAGCAATATACAAACAAATACATCTGCTGCATTGATAGCTTCATTAGCATTTTGAGCGATATAGTGACAGCCCCACATGTTCAGAGCTCAAGAGAGCAGTGCTTGACATGCTGTTACACAGGCAACTTATACTTCTTACTTAGCCCTGAGTTGTGGGTTCAAGCCCTATATTGGACTAAAGATTCCTGCAATGCACGGGTTTGGACTAGATGATCCTTGTGCTCCCTTCTAACTCTGATTCTATGAATCAAGCTCTTTTACACCTCAGGGCTGCTTCTCACATTACTTTTGAAAGACATGGATATAATTACAGGAGGCATGCTTACACCTGAATAATAATGAAATGTCAAAACGATAATACGTGTTGTAATATAATACAAAATGTCAAAGCCATAGCTCTTTAGGCATGAATCTTCAGATATGGGCACTCCACCTGAGAATTCACTTCTGCCTTTCTGAGGTAACTTAAGGACTAGACTCTGTCCTCTACAGTAAAACTTTTGAAACCCAAAAGTAAATATCACTTTTAACAACTGAGTGAAATGTTTGACCAGATTTTAACAATCGCAGAAATGCTAAGTGTGAGCATATTGGCCAAAAGCATAATTCACGACTGAATCATAGGAATAACAGAAAAAAACTAATAAAATATTATGATGACTAATTACATCTTGTAGCAGATGTGCAGTATTTGAAGCAGAAAATAACAAACAACCTGCCAGGTATTTAAGGATGAAAAATGACTAAATAAAAGATAACATTCAAAATGCAGTTATCAGGTAAGATTGAAATTCCATCGTTAAATTCAAATAACTTCTTGAGAACTAACGAAATAATATCATTTTTTGCAATCTGTTTGATCCAAGTTCATCTTGTGTAAATGTCACCTGAATTATTTAGTACAATTGAGTGGGAACAAAAGTGTTGCTAGAAGTGTTAGAGCATATGGGAAAGCTCTCTGTTCATAGGATAATCACATTTTGAAAATTGCTAAAAGTAACGTTTAACCTGGAAAGTGTTAAGTTGGGGTAATATCCAGTTATGATGTTCCACTTGTACAACCAACTTCCACTTTTGCAAATGGGACTTTCCCTTAATTCCCTCCCACAGACCAGCATGATGCTGGATTGTTCCCTTAATCTTGAAAAAGTCCAGAAAGGCTCTCTTAAATATTCTGGTATATGTAAATACTGTAGATTTCCAGTATACTTCATTACTTAGAATATATTTTAAAAAGTGATTAAAGAAAAACTTGAAGAATTTTCATCTTTGCTAAAAAACCCACTTACGTAATGTCTGCATTAGGATGAAGACCAAATACTTCTGGGCTGTCCATTGATGGGAGAGTTGAAATATATTCATGATATTGATCCAGAGTTTTGCACACTGGTATTTTATAACCAGTGTAAAAGCAGAATGTATTCTCAAACATCTTCTCACTGAACCAGACCTGAACAAAAACGGGGGGGGGGGAGTTGAAATTTAAGTTTGTTAAGAATTAAGAGCTGGATTGTTGAGAATGGGGTACACAAGGACAGAAAGCAGAAGCCATCAAATGTTGGCAAAGTGCTCCTGTCCTGATCCAGAGAAGCTCACAGAGTGAAGAATGTTGGTTGTTGTGTGCCCAGGTACAGTCCCCCACCTAGGGGAGCCAGCCCTCAGTTAAACAGAATGAAACACAGACAATATATTTTGGGATAAAAAATTGGCCACAACTTTATTGAATTCCAGATGTGGGAAACCTTGGCTTAGGTATCCCTCTCAGCCCTGTGTTGGGGTCTGAGGCATGGCGGTGTCAGTCAGGAATATGGGAACTCTGCAAAGTGTGTGTTTACACAGCTGCCCCCCTTTCCATGTTGCAGAGGGGAGTTCTCAGTGCACTTGTGGACAGAGACTCCCCTCAATACCCCTTTAATGGGGGCCCTGATATTGCCGCCGCAGAAGGGGTGAGTCACCAAGCCACCCCTTTGTTGATTGTTGGACAAAAGGATTCTGCCCAAGGCCTAAAACCACCAAAGTTGTGACAATTGCTACAGGGAAGGCAAAGCCTGCAGAGCAGGGGAAATTATTCCCCGGCTCTGAAAGACAGCAACCATCATCCGACCATAGCAATGCCCATGAACCTGGAAGGAGAAAGCTTAGCCTGTAATGAAGGAAGCAATTAGAGTGAGGGCTGGGCGAGTGATGCTCCAAGGGCCGACTGCACGGCCAGCATCGGCTCCTGCCCCTTTTAAGCAACAGTAGCGAACTAGAGTGAAGCCTTAGCAGGCGCGATCCACTCCTGAGGCTCCTCCCCCTTGGTTGCTGCCGATTGGCTGGTTTGAACTGGCCCCTTCGGTGGGGAAAAACAGTGTTGTCGTGCCAACCACTGGTGTGGTGTGGCCCGGGGACGATGGCAGGCCCCACACCAGGCTGCAAACCCCACCCACCGCCAGGAACCTGTGAGCAGGCATTTCAGTACCATGGAGAGTCCCAAGTGAGCAATTTGCTCCTGCAAGGGTTGGGTGCAAACTGAGACTTTTTGAGCCTCTGTCACCATCTTCTTTTGGAGAACTAGTGTTTCTTAAAGGGCCACCCCTTTGGCATCAAATCAGGCACCTCTCCTTTATTGCATGGCCTCTTACCTCGTGTTCTCCATACACACTTGTATTGGTGAAGTACGGTGAAAGACACATGGTTCCTCAGGCCCAGAGGGTCCTGCACCAGTTGTATGGGTTCTAATGCTGCGGCATCTAGTTTCAACAAGGTCCTGCCTGCCACCCTCAGGTTCAGTTGCCCTCTGGTTACCAGCATTAGACCCAAAAAGCCAGGAATCTGCTCTGGCTCCTTTGCTGGTCACTGCTGGACTCTGAGGTCATGACAGCACAATCCTACTGATGTACACCAATCAACATCCCAAAACCCATTCATTAAATGCATAGGATATTAGCTTGTTATATGAATAACCGAAAGCCTACTGCTTTAAAAACAAAACATATCAATGGCTTTAATACATTGATTTTATGAGAAATACAAAATCATAAATTTGAAAGGCCTTTCTTTCCAGATGATTGACTATATGCCATGAGGGTCCTATTACATTGCCAGTACATTTTTAACAACATTCTGTAGTTTAGTTTATTTCAATTGAAAGTGAATCATTGTTCATTTGGAAGCCCTTTTTGCTTATTGTTAAGAATCTTTCATCACATTTCCTTACCCTTGCAAAGCAATTAAGAAGACGCTTATCATAATCATCGGTGACCCTGCCTCCATACTGTACTTCTCCAATCATGTATCGGACTGTGCTCCAGGATATTCCCTAGAGACAAAAACAAGCACATTTTAGAAATTCTAGTACATACTCACAAACTTGGATTGCACAAAGTGCTCAAGGATCATGTGCAGGCACCCGTAACTCTGACTTTTGACCCAAGGATAACAACTGAAAACCTCAAATATAACTAAGGTTCTGCAGAAAACAAATAAAAATAAAGACCATCTTGCGATTTTGACTTAAGATTGTGAAAATCTGTTTTTAGCTCTGATCATCCCACATAACTGAAAATCAATAGGGAAGAGGCAATTTGCCACATTTCTCATATTCCATTCAAAAGCCTCATTTGTCAACACGGCTGTAAACTATTAACTGCATGCACTACAAATGCATTGAGTCCCACAGTGAATGCATTGCTACCCAAAAGTACAGACTGCAGCCGCTTGTTCTTTTATAAGCAATAATAACTGTGGGTGTGATCCCATTCCTTTATGGATGCAGCTATGCACACAAGGCAATTGACATTTCCCTCTCTCCCTGGCTGCTGCAGGTATATGACATGTGCACATCACACTGCATGGACCATTACTTCCAACAGGAGGCCCAAGTGTACTTCCCATATAGTCATCTAGCGATCCCTCT